CTTTCCCAGCCCTGGAAGTGCTCAAGGCCAGCTTGGAAGGAGCCTGGAGCACTGTGGTCTAGTGGAAGGTGCTCCTGCCCCTTGCCCAGCCCTGGAAGTGCCCAAAGCCGGTTTGGAAGGCGCCTCATCCAGCGGAAGGTGCCCCTGCCCCGCGGGACACGAGACGAGCTTTGAGGTGCCTTCCGGCCCGATCCACGGCACGATCCCCCGGCTGTGCCAGGCCCAGGGGCTGCGGGGAAGGCAGAGCCGCTGCGTGGGGAGCGTGTGAGAGCGGGGCACACATGCCTGTGCACGCCGGGCGCGGGCGTACGTGCGCTGGGCCGCGACGCCGCGCGCGGCAATTGGCCGCTGCGACGGTAAATATTTGAGGTCGGGAAAGTCAGCACATTCCCTGAACTCTGCCTGCTTGTTCAGGCTGTTAAGAGCGAGGGCTAATATTTGAGAGCGCCACACCCTTGCGTGGAGAGGGCTGCAGCCAGGGTTCAAGCTCCACAACCCGGGCACGCAGGCGGTTGGAAGCGGCCGCTGGCTTTTCCAGCCCAGTTCCCAGCTGGCCCAGGAGTTGCGTGATTTAATGGGTTTCAGTTGGGGAAAATAGGTGTGTGAGGGAGGGAGGGAGGAGGAGGGAGGAGGGCAGAGGCATTACATCACCCCGAGGAAAACACAATGTGTTGTGTACAGAGCTGCTCCCGGGTGAACTTCGAGGCAGAGAGACACTGAGGGGCTGGAGCGTGTCCAGGGAAGGGAATGGAGCACAAGGAGAACTTCTGAGGGAGCTGCAGGGGGGCTCAGCCTCCCCCGCATCAAACTCCATTTATCTTGACCCACAAAGGGTTTTTTTCTAACTTATTTTCTCCCTCCCCCTGCTGCTGAGCAGTGGAGCAGCTTGGTGGGCACCTGGTGGCCAGCCAAGGTCACCCCCACACCTCATGTCACCTGTAAACGGGTGTTTGGGAGAGGAAGACGGAGTGTTCCCCGGGGGAAAAGGAAAAATTTTAATTCCTCACCCATTTTGGTGCCAGCAGACGTTGGCAGTGGATGGGACACTCTTCTGATCTCTGTTTTGGTGAGACAGGAGCCCTCAAGTTGCCAGAAGCAGCTGGGCAACATTCTCAGATCATGGAACCAAGGAGTGGTGTGGGTTGGGAGGGGTCTTTGGAGGTCAGCTAGGACTTTAGGGACACCTTCCACTAGGCCAGGTTGCTCCAAGGCCTGTCTTTGAACAATTCCAGGCATGGGACAGCCACCATCCCTGGGTGGTGGTCTCAAAAAAAGGTCAATGCTCTAATTCCTGTCTTCCTTCTCATGCTCCCCACCACCTGTATGGGCAGCACCACCTTCCTTAGGAATTCCTGACTTTTCATTTGAAAAAAAAAAATCCCAACAAACTCAAAAGTTTTTTTTTAAACCAGAAATGCTCCAAAATCCAACAGGAAAATCCCCCCCACCTGTATGAGCAGCGACACCTTCCTTAGGAATTCCTGACTTTTCATTTGAAAAAAAACCCAAACCAACAACCCACTCAAAAGTTTGGGGTTTTTTTTAAGCCAGAAATGCTCCAAAATCCAACAGGAAAATCCCTCCCACCTGTATGAGCAGCGACACCTTTCTTAGAAACTCTTGACTTTTTATTTAAAAAACCCAACAAACTCAGAAGTTTGGGGTTTTTTTAAGCCAGAAAAGCTCCAAAATGCAACAGGAACATGGGCAGCCCTAGAAAACAAGCCTAGAAAGCAAAGTGGGACATGAAAACAAGCCTGGAAAGCAAAGTGGGAGCGGGGTGAAGAGGGGCAAGACGTGGCTGCTGCAGCTCAGCAGCCCACGATGCCCGCGGTGACTCCGGGCGAGCCCTGCCAGTGCCAGGGTGCCCTCGTTGGTTCTCCTGAGGAAGCTGGGCGTCTCCCAGGGGACGGGGTGGGTTTCTGGGAGGCTGTGCCCGTGACCTGTGGCTGTCCCCCGCAGGTGAGAAGCCCTACAAGTGCACCTGGGAGGGCTGTGACTGGCGCTTCGCCCGCTCTGACGAGCTCACCCGGCACTATCGGAAGCACACGGGGGCCAAGCCCTTCAAGTGCCTCGCCTGCGGCCGCTGCTTCTCCCGCTCCGACCACCTGGCCCTGCACATGAAGAGGCACCAGAACTAGGAGTTGCCTCCTTCCCACACTTCTCCAAGAGCAGCTGGAACTCTTTCCTCCTCCGAGGGGCCTCCCCTCGTGCTGTACATAGGAACAAACCCACGCTGTGATCAACTGGCAGGGCAGGGATGGCGGGTGAACCCCCTGCCAGGCCTGTCCCCGACTCCTTCTGGTTTTAAAAGAAATTAAAACCCCAACTGGCTCGTTTACAATGAGTTCTAATTACAGACTGATCTCCTGACGAGGCTCCCGGTGCCACTGGGCTGACGGACCTTGGATTCCAAAGGGCTTTCTTCTGGCAAACCTGCTATTTATTTGTCACTCAGGAGCAACTGTCCTTCGTGCCTCAAGTTCTTTGGGATGGTTTTTTTACCCCTTCCAGGGTGGTGCCTTTGGTGAGGCCCAGGAGGGATGTGACGGGTCAGCAGCTTGGACCCTCTTGGACTGCCCCATGGCATGGCCATGGATGTGACACCTTCTCCCATGGTGTGACCATGGATGTGGCACCTCACCCCATGGTGTGACCATGGATGTGGCACCTTGTCGCATGAAGGTACCGTGGATGGGACACCTTGTCCCATGGTATGACCCCTTGTCTCATGGTGTGACCATGGATGTGGCACCTTGTCCCATGAAGTGACCTGGATGGGACACCTTGCCCCTTGGCATGGCCATGGATGTGACACTTTGCCCCATGGTGTGACACCTTGCCCCTTGGCATGGCCATGGATGTGACACTTTGCCCCATGGTGTGACACTTTGCCCCATGGTGTGACCATGAAGGTGGCACCTCTGCCGTGTGAGAACAGGAGCACGTGCCCAGGGCTGTTTGGGTTGACAATCCCAGTCTCTGTGGGGGCATGAGAGGAGAAGACCTATGACATACTCACCTGACGTGCCTTCGAGCAAGGGACAGCACAAAAGCAGGTGACAGAAGCCCCACCTGTGTCCTGTTGAGCCCAGCTGTGGTTTCCTGGCAGCAGCTCAGCTCAGCAAACACCTGCCCTGCTTGGCGAGGTTTTTCAGTTGTGTCCTTAGCATTTCTGCTTCCAAGATGAATTTTGACTTCAGGTGTCTCTGGGAGGACCGGCATGGGTTTGAAGCCACCCAAAAAGCCACTGATGAAGGTCTGGTTCCCCAGAAGACACCGGTGGTGCCTTTCTCCAGAAGACGCACACAAGGACTCTGTGGTCGCCGATCACACCAGACCTGTGCTGTTGCCATTTCATCACCTTCAGATGAGGGGAAAAAAAATAGAAAAAAAGCATCTTTGAAACAAATTCCAATAAATCCTCCTGTTCAGATTGTAATCACATTTACCTACCTCACAAGTTCATGACCTCGGGCTCCGTGAGCACCTTCCCCCCTTGCTGTGGGGTGCCACGACACGTGGGGCACATCACCCGCTCTCCAAAGCCTACCAGGGGTTAAATTTGGGCAGGACAAGAGCCAGGCCCTGCCAGTTCCAACAGCAGCTGTGTGGGTCATAAATAAATCAAGAACAAATAATGGGCCTGGTGTGTCCAACTGAATATTGATTTTCCTCACACCCTCCTCCTCTTTTATTTCTCCTCGAACAAATTTAGGTGCCCCGTGGCCTGATGTGTGTCTGCAGCGTGGGATGAGAGGCCACACTGAACTGGGGCATCTTTGAGTGGTGGGAATGTGGAGGCCACTCCTCTCTGCTGGTGTCAAACTGCACGGGAACCACAGCCCATCCTTGGGGTCCTGCTCGTGCTTTTCCCTGGATAAATAAAGCTGAGGTGCACCTGTGGCAGGAGAGGAGGGCAGGGAGGATCTGGGGGGTCCGTGGTGTGGTGTAGGCTTTGGGGTGGGTGATGTGCCCACGGCTGATGGCCCAGCGCTGCCGTGAGCCCTTGGGGTGGCTCTTTGGCTCTCAGGCAGGGTGGGAATGTCAGGCCATGGAATTGCTGGAGGTGGCTTAGGTGGCTTTTCCAATGGTGCATGGGAAGGGCTTTCCAGCCCTCAGCACCAGGGCTGGAGGGTCTGACATCAGCAACCTCTTGACACCGAGCTCAAGTGAAAGTCGGAGGGCCTGGCTCACACCCAGCTGACCACATGGATGGACCTCCAAGTGCTTTTTCCAATCCCTTTTCCAACTCTTCCATTGCTTGTCATGGCAGCTCCATGAGGACTGGCTGGCCATGGGGCCAAGGGGCTCGTTGGCCATGTCCCTTGTTGGCTGTGGGCTCTGGCTCCTCTCTGGGGCACAGGGCAGGACCTTGCCAATGCCACCGCCGTGACCTGGGCTCCTTCTTGTGACCTGAGCTCACCTGGGAGGTTGGACCTGCGGTGCCACCCCCTCCCAGCTAAGGTAGAGCCACAGGGGACAGTTTTACCTCTTGCCTTGTGCCTGGGAGGTGGATCTGGAGAGCCCCAGGGAAGGTCTCTGATGATGGAAAAGCCTCTTGGAGAGCAGTGGTGGAGCGGCCCGGACAAGCTCATCCCAAAGGAATTTCAGCACAGTGTGGAGATGCCTCAGCCAGTCCCCCACTCGTGTCTCCAGGAGGCTCAGGGTGTCTCCAGGAAGCTCAGGGTGTCTCCAGGAGGCTCAGGCTGGCTTGGTGAGGTTGGTGGGGACCCCCCATGGCCATGCTGGGACCTGCTGAGCTCCACCCTCTCCACTGGGACAGCTCAGCCCCTCCATGGATGAGCCCTGGCATGGGGAACCTGTGTCCCCACGTCCCCCAGGAGCTCCCATGGCTGCAATCCCAACCTCCATGCTCCAAGATGGCTTTTTGGTGCACCTTTGGTGGTTGAACCTCCTCAAGGCCTGAGCTAAAGCACAAGGCACGGGGTCCCCCCGCTGTCGGGGGGTCATTCCCACCTCTGGCCCTCTCAGAGGGGTCCCTTTGCCCCCCTCTGCTTTTTGGAGAAGGAAAGCTCTGCTGTGATTCTGAGGGGGGCCCAAAACCAGTTGGCTAAAAACCACTCCAAAGCCAGACCAACCAACAGGCAGCTTGAAATTTTAAATAATTTTCCTGATAATCTCTTCTTTTTTATTTTCACTAAAGAAAAAAAATGCACCTCCTTGTCCTCTCTCTGTGTATATATATATAAATATATATATTTTTTTTTAAATTTGATGGGGGGGGGCAGAGGAAAAAGTGTCTTAACACCCCAGCCCAGCCCAGCCCCACTGCTCTGTATGCAAAGTGCTGCCATGCAAATGCTTGGCTATGCAAAGGCAACACTTGGGGTGTTTTCTTTTTTAAAAAAAGAGGAAAACCACAGCAAGCCTTGGCTTTTATTTCTCTATTTTTGTATGTACAGAAGTGGACAGCTTTAGGTTTGCCTTTCACGGCATTTTATGGCATTTCGTGGCATTTTCGTGGCTGTTTCTGGGGAGAAGGACGGGGAGCGACGCTGATGGAACCTTGTGGTGATCCCAGCCTCCATCCCCAACCCCAGGGGACACTGGGGTGACAGGGACTTAGGAAAAGCTTTCCAAGGAGCTGATGGAAGGCCAGGAGGTGGGGCCTGGTCTCTGTATGATAACGGGGAGAAAATCGCTGTAAATAGGCAAAAAAAGCGCGGTGTGGCTTCGTGGGGCTGTGGATTCAGGGTGATCCTTTCCTGTGCAAGATGAACACAAATGTGAAAGAAATTGGGGCCCTGGAGAACTTGGGTGGAAGATTTATTTCGCTGGTGATGCTGTGTTTGTTACAGAACTCCTTCTCCCCTGCCAAACTCCCCTGTGACTATTAATCCATCTCATATTTTGTAATAAAATTTTATCACGTGGAGACGTTGTCTGCCTTCTGTTCCCTCCTGTTAAAAATGACTTTTATTTTTTTTGTCTTTACCCTCTGCTTTTACAGGCTTAAGAAAATGGGTAAAAAAGGTTTTTTTAATTGGGAAAGGAAGGATCTGTGCATGACAAGAGTCTGCAGCCCTGTCCCAGGCTGATATTGCAATATTATAAACGATATTTATTTTTAATGCTCTTCACCTTCACTAAGTGCTCCCACTTTTTCGTTGTGTGAGGGGAGAAGGGACACCCACAGACCTTGGGGGTCAGAGGGAGCCAGAGCAGAGGCAGGCAGGGGGAAGAGAGATAAGCCAGGGGAACATGAGGAAGTGCTGGGTTGGGCTCCGAAATCCCTCTGGGTGAACTGTTGTGTGTGTATAAACACATTTGTCCATATGCAAACAGCTCTGAGAGGGCTGATGAGCTCATGCCTTTAGCATGGACACACCCAACACCCCCCAGCCCCCCCAGCCCCCCCTGCCC